TGGATATGTAACAGTATTATTGCCTGACCTCCATGGAAAGAGGTACTGCACACCAAGTGAGGGGGCCAGGGCAGCACTGCAGAGTCAGTACCTTTGTGGAGTTAGTGCTTCCTTTCCCTGCAGCTCATTGAGATCTGAGGGTTTGGAGGATGTGCTCACTCACACCTTCCTGCATGACCTGTCAAACCCATCTCCTACAAGAATGACATTCTGCCTCACAGAGTTGGCTGGGCTCCATCCCCTTCTCTCTAGTTTTATGATATGGCCCCAGGCTTGGAAATGGTGTTTCTATTCTCACTTAAACTGGATGTCCCTGAATGCTAAAGTGCACAAACTTTATGTTCATCGGGCCAGATTCTCCATTGTCCTGCAGCTTGTGTAGCTGTCTATACCAGTGCAAGTGTGTAAAAAATGCTATGGCTCTGATTGAATAGCATTGTACACTCTGCTGCTCTGCTCTTTGTGTAGCAGGTATCTGGCCCATCATATGTTTGCACCTACAGAGTCGAAGACTGGTTCAGAAGCACAAGTTTGGCTATTCTGCTCTCTCCCATTCTTCTCTAGAGCATTGCTTGGGAGTCCTGGGATGTCATAGCACATGGAATGAGCTCTCATGGACTAAATGGCTGCAAGTTAAATTGCCAAGCACTTGTGAAAGTGATTGTGGATATTCTTCAAATAAATAAAAAGTTGACTTAAGAGATGTGGCAGGGAGGAAGGGAAGAATATTCTTTTGCAGAGAAGCATTATTCCACCATATTGAAAAAATAACTTCCTTTCTAAATCTCTCCCCCCCCTCCACCCTGTAGTTTTGTAGTATAATGACTGTTCTTATCCCTCCTGATGAGGAAAAATACTGTACTTCAGCAGAAAAGGTCAGTATAAGTCCTCCCCATTATCTATATCTTCTGGTTCTCTTCCCACAAGTCACATGGAATAGAAAATATAGTTACCATACACTGAAATTTTAGAATACGTTAACGGATCACACAGCCAAGATAATCATTTCTCCTTGTATTCCAATGCTGAGAGCTCACAGTGATATGCAAGTCAGTGGAAACAGTCTCCTGAATCCAGTTCTACAAAATTGCACTATAACGTATATGGTCTAACGTAACTTTATTCAACTGACACCAACTAGAATTCAAATACACGTATTGTTTATATTACAGTAGTGCCTAGAAGTTCCAACCAAGATCAGAGCTACATTGTACTACCCCTGCAAACTCATAGTAAGAGACAGCCCCTTCACTGGAGAGTTTATATTCTTAAACGCTTAAAATGACTACCATGTCATACAGGATGCACATACTGGTTCAGAAACTATTAAAACAGCCCCTTCCGCCCTCTACAAACCATTGAGCATTTCTAAGAACAAACTAAAAGCAAAGTTCTGAAATGTTTTTTTTTTTTTTTTAATATAATACTGGTTTTCAGCTTTGGCAGGAAAAAACAAATCATCACAAGAAAAACTGTTCTCATAAATAGAAATTCACCTCTTTGCAGAATGTTTAGACAGGCCTATGTACCACTTTAAGGCTTCATAAGAGAATTACAAATGCCAAGAATATTTAACATTTTAAATAGGAGGCATAATTTGTACCACTTGATCGATCAAAGCATCGCAAGCACACGTTTAAGATACCAAAATGGAACATTTTGTTCAGCAGAGGCCTTTTATAGGCCCACTGTAGAGGGGGTAAATTTCACCCAGGATGCACGTGGCCATAGGTGGAAGGGCTGGAAGTTTCTCTTCTGATTTCTAGATCAATTACTGACCCCACATTCAGACTCTGGGATGTTCACCCATACTAACCAAGGGTGAAACCTCAAATGTTTGGAGATTTGCCAATCACAAATTGCAATCTTAATTTCACTGGAGTTTTCATAATTAAAAAAATCCTATTTTGTTTCCTGTACCTTTGAGTCGTGGAAGCAGATGACTCCGCGTATTTCCACATGAGAGAGATTGCTCATTACAAAAGCAGTATGTTTTCGTTTTCAACCTCTCTGAAGGATTAAGAAAGATTAGGAAGGAACATTTGCTTACCAGAAGCCACATTTCTGAGATATTTTACCTTGGCATGTGAGGGTTTGGTTGAGTAAACTGAACTAAGAATCACTAATTTAGAATGAAGTTATTTAGGTGTTATGAAAATATTGGTAGAAGTTACTGGCATATATACTACTAACCCTCTTTTCAGTGTATTGTCCCATTCTGCTTTTGAGTCCCTGCTTTTGAATTCCGCTTTTTCAGTGTTGTGCATTCTCATCTGAAAAGAAATATGCACATGTCCTATTTAGGCCCATTTATAAAAAAAGACTTCACACTGGGCTAAATCTTACATTATATCAATGTTGATTCTGTTGTTGGTGTCAGGTGGAAAAGACCTGGAATTATTATCAAACCATTTTATACAGAACACACATGAGCAGACAAGTAGTTTTACTTGTCACCATTGGTTGAAATCCTCTTTGCTTTAATTAATCCCAATGAATACATATCGAAGGGAGAATGGACCCTCTAGAGAAGTGTATTCAATTCACCAATGATTTGTTTTCCCATGTTAACTATCAAAGAATAGAGTATATTTTTCCATGTTGTGTTAAGTTAATATTTTCTTGCACACCCCAGTTGGTATTTGACCTCAGGACCTCACTGTTGTAATAGCATGGAATTTACCACTGTCACAGACATCTATCAATTGTTAATCCTACTGTGCAGGTTTAACATTAATACTGCCATATGCATAAAAACATTTTAAATGTTCTTACAGTTTTATGCTACAAGAACAGCTAAAGAACTGGCAAGGAAGTGGAAAATTAAACTTCATTTGACTAGGAGTCATTTGAAGATATGTAGTACCATACTAAAGAGAAATATTAAACTCACATTGTATTTTGCCTTAGAAACTTTGGTGAGTGGGCATTTCAGACCTTCTCATTATTATTTCTATAGCACCATTGGTGAGCACATTGCAACGGATAGGCATTTGAGATGAAATCTTGACCCCACTGAAGTCAAAGGCAAAACTCAGAGTGAGTATGATCCACTCTTATGCCCCTATGGGAATTATTTGAACTTTGAGCCCAGGCACATAGCAGTAAGAGGCCACTGACATCCATTTTTCGTGTGTCCTTCATAGCAGATGGATGGGAATAGGATGAGTACTGGCTTCAACTACATACTCCTATCTGCCGTCAAGTGTAGCTGAGCTATCAGGAGGAATATTGTAGTTCATTGCTGGGATAGCCCCCTACTCACCACCCAAAGCAAGAAAGAAGCAGGGGGAAGCACTGTCATTGAGATTTGAATCGCCAAATCACAATACTTCCCAGGAATATGCCTGGGATGCTATAGTGTGCACTCCACCCATGCTTCAGTGTTGTGGCTAAAGACAAACTAAGCTGCCTATCCGTTTGTAAATGGCTCTCTTTGGGTATAACCAGCCATTGTCTGCCTCTTGTAAAGATCGATCAACGCACATTATAGCAATATTGAATCTAATACCACGTGATAAGAATATGTAACATACTTTTAAAAGGAGGCATAATTTGTACCATTTGATTAATCAAGACATTGCCAGCACCCTTTCAAGATGCAAAATGTCTTGTCCTTGACTATTCTGATGGAATTTTGGCTCTAACTCTCATGTAGCTCTGATAGTGACTTGCATGTGAAGCAGGCGTGACCAGCGTCTCTTTAAAGGGTGTCAATTCCCACCTGTAAAATATGAACTGAAATTCTCTTGGTGAGGGGGAGGTCTTTTAACACTGGAGCTTGCCTAATAAGGGATGGTGCCTTACGCAGGGTTCATGTGTCTGGTATTTATAGATAAAATAAATTACACTGACCCAAGAAGAAAAGGAGGACTTGTGGCACCTTAGAGACTAACCAATTTATTTGAGCATGAGCTTTCGTGAGCTACAGCTCACTGTAGCTCACGAAAGCTCATGCTCAAATAAATTGGTTAGTCTCTAAGGTGCCACAAGTCCTCCTTTTCTTTTTGCGAATACAGACTAACACGGCTGTTACTCTGAAAACTGACCCAAGAGGCAACCTCCTTGAATTTTATTATTTTCAAACATATTTGCACCAGAGCTGGAACCCTAGATCTGATCTTCCTTGAACTTTGAGGAAGTTTTGAGATTCAGACTTATCTCTATAAATAAGATGGTGTGACACAGACCAGAGACATTACCATAATTCCAGCTCCGCATCAAAGTCCTCAGGCCACAGATGTTCAGGGAAAGGGCTATAAGGATTTCTGCCTAGGAGGCAGAGGTGGGAGACTCTCTTTGAGAGGTTTGGGCTCTGCACTTTGGGGTTGCGGGGCAGTCACTTGAATGGATGGAACTTTGTGCTGGAGATATTTTCTTCTTATTCTTTTTCTGCTCAGATTAATTTGCTTTGATTTCTTGTTCTAAACACTATTCCTTAAGAAAATGTTACCAGTTTGCCTATGGAAAAGAAGTCACTGTATGCACACTGTAAGCCAGCCAGCACCATGTCCAAGTTTGTAGCTCCCAACATTAAAAACACAAAGCCAAGAGCTCCAATTCTTGAACCTGGGAACTGAAACCAGCTCGCTGGGGCTGAATGTGATAAATACACATGAATATAGAAGGCCACATCTCTAATGGCACAGGCCAGCTATAGAACAACTTCTGAAGTCTCCATAAGAGAACACACTTTAAAATCTCCTATTTGCCTAAGAATAACTCTGTGCTCTCCCTTTAGTGCACAAGGGCAGATTTTAGCCATGTCTCAGAAGCAGCTTTTTGAAAATAGAGCCCATGTACCACTCAGTGCACTTATATGTTCCCAGACATCCTCCTTCCTTTTTCCCCCCTTAAATGATTTTTTACTGCCCTCATTTTATTTAAAAACCGCTGAGCAGTAAAAATCTGTATCTAGTCAATGTGTCTGAGAAATGTTTAACCTTAAATAAAAACTTGACAGATAGATTCACACTCTTTTTATCTTGTTTCCATTAGTTATTTATTTCTCAGAGAGCCTGAATGCTTCCTTGGTACATACTTGATTAGTAGACTGACAAGAACCTTGATAGGGCCAGGGTACAAATGTACATAGTTCCTTTAAAACTCTATCTAAACCAATTTGTTTTGTAATGCTTTTGAATGAACTGGATCAAAAGCTCATAGCTGGACTTTGGATCATACTTTTCCTGCTTTTTTAATTTTTAGCATTGATAAGCTTTGGAAACATCTCTCTTTTTAGGAAGGAGCTAATTGCTTCTGTGAATCCGATTTAGAAAAACAAAACAAAAAAACCCACCTAGATATCGGAGAATTATCCAGCCAGCACTATGTCCAAGTTCATAGCTCCCGACATTAAAAACTTTGTGGCGTGGGACTATGTTGTTTTTGCTGCACTCTTTCTAATTTCTTCTGGCATTGGCGTTTTTTTTGCAATTAAGGAGAGGAAAAATGTAACTTCAAAGCAATTTTTAGTAGGTGGAAAGCAGATGACATGCGGACCAGTGGCATTGTCCCTTACGGCTAGTTTCATGTCTGCAGTCACTGTTCTGGGAACACCTGCAGAGGTATATCGCTATGGAGCGCCCTTCATTATTTTCTTTATTTCATATACGTTTGTCATCATCATTACTTCTGAACTTTTCCTACCTGTGTTCTACAGATCTGGGATTACAAGCACTTACGAGGTAAGTAAAATTGACACTAACCAGTCTATTATGTATACAGACATTTCTAACCCAATTCTATGGTAAAACCTGTCTTTTGGAATAGTTCAAAACCACAGGGTATTTATTTATACTTTGGCATTGAATAGCATTATAATAATAATTATTTATTTGCATTGCAGTTATGTTTAGGGTACCAATCCAGGATTAAGAGCCCATTGTACCAGGCAGACTAGGGAGCTCACCACCTTGCTTAATACAGTAGTACAAAAGTAGGTTAAAGTCGGTAAATGCAAATAAGAAAGATACTGCGTGAGGAGAGCAGTACAAATGTGGTTAGGCTACGTCTACACTGCAGTCAGGGTATGCTTTGCAGCTCACGTAGATGTACTTGTGCTATCTCTACCCTAGCTAGCTCACTAAAAACATCAGTGAGGACACCATGGTGTGTACTTTAGCACTGGCTGCACAAGCAAGTAGATAGCCGGTGACGTGGGGAGAGGCTCAGGCCCACTGGTGCAGGCTGCCCTGAAACCTGAACCACAGTGTCAGCACTGCTATTTTTGGTGAGCTGGCTAGATCAAAGCTAGCATGGGTACATCTAATAAGCTGCAAATCTCACTCCCAGCTATACTGTAGACATCGTCTTAGTCTCCATAAACAGGAAAGAAAATGCTATTCATGAGTCGGTATTAAAGAGGGGCTCAAACCACTAAATTCCATTTCTGACCCCCCAAACTACTAAATTCAGGGTTGTCTGATCTGGGATTTTGGCTCAGTCCTTGTAAATCTAGGGGCATTTACCGAGTATGGATCTGGGTTCAGATTTTGACCACTACCAAAATTTGCAGGTTGAGGGGGATGGATCTGGGCACATCTCCAGTGATTAGGTCAGGAAACATTAAGGGACTTGTAGATGTATCTGAGGGAGTTGGATAACACCAGTTTTTTGCTCCCTGTGCAATTTCCCAGCTGTTTCTGAAATTTTTGCCAGGCATGCCTCCCTGAAAGAAACGAATTCCTGGTATGATTGCTCAGCAGCTGTGAAAATCAATTGTCACTGTGGTGTTATTACTGAGAGCACGGTGCACAACCTCAATTATCTGGATGTCATTGGGGACAAATTTTGGACAAGTAAGGTATTCAATAGTCAGCTGACTTAATAGAGGTCATGGGACATGGTCCTGTTCTTTACTACAGAAAGATTCAGTTACCTAAGGAATGGGTGAAAAAAAGCCTCATGGGCTACTAAATCAAACCAAGGTAATGGGAATGTTTGTACACAGCCACAGAGGTTTAAAAACAAGGGAAAAACTCCATCTGAAAAACTATGCATAGGCATTTTGAAACGTTTCATGGCTAGGTTAGGAAAAGTTCAGATGGGAAATCTGTCCCGGTCACCAGAAGCAAAGTAAACAAGGGCACTTTCCCAAATATATTGGGATAATAAAAGATCAGAGTCAAATTTTCCTCCCCATTTCATCATTGCAATTCAATTGCAATCCTTGGGATCACTTCAGTGTAACTGAGAGAAGAGTTTGTCCCAATGAATGCAAATAAAGATGACAAGCTAAGAGTTTCAGAGGAACAGCCGTGTTAGTCTGTATTCGCAAAAGAAAAGGAGTACTTGTGGCACCTTAGAGACTAACCAATTTATTTGAGCATGAGCTTGTGAGCTACAGCTCACTTCATCAGATGTATGAAGCTTAAGAGTAACAGAGAAGCTACTCAAGTATCTCTGCATTAAGATTTCTAAAGGACAGAAAGTCCTCGGAATCTTCTGTAAATAATGTGTGCTGGGGAGCATTCTATATGGTATGTAATCCCCCTGGAAAGTATGGATGGGTACTCAGAAATTGCTAAGGGCAGCGGTATCCTTAATCAGTTGGAGTTTATCCTGATGATTCGAGTGAGTAGATTTCTATAGAACCCAATCCAGTTTTTCCTAGTTAGCTTGCAGATGTCCCCAACTCCCCCTCCCCCCCCATGTAGCTGGATGAAGAATCAAAATAAAGCAGTTTTTCCTTTTCTGATTTGCCTCTGGATTTTTCCAAGGACTCCCAACATAACAGGTACTATCAGGTAATGGATAGTTCAGTTCCACCCAACACATTATTTTAGATACTTATGATTATGATACTTAGATACTTTAGATTAATTAGAAAGCTTGTTAAAATGTAATTTTCTATGGCTGCAAAGATCATGCTATCCTGTTCATTAGTGATGATAGCAGTGTTAGTAAAGTCAATGGGACTACTTGTGGAGTAAAGTGCTATTCAGTGCTAATAACTGTATCATAATCTGGCCCAAATGTCACAGATGCTTTTCACTAATTGTACTTTTCATTTCCCCCAGTATTTGGAGTTAAGATTTAACAAGTCTGTTCGCTTTGCTGCAACACTGATCTACATAGTGCAGACGGTAAGAAATACCTTTGTGTGCATAACCGGGTTTTCTGTAATATATTTACCTAGAAAAGCTCAGCTCAGATGAAGCATCTGTTTGCAGTGAGGTCCTGTTTTCTTTTCTTTTCTTTATTTTCCAGTGGGCTTATAGACTAAGGCTCAGAGAGGGTGAGTAAGTTCCCTGAGGTATAGGGGTGCTAATTTTGGTTGGACGTATTCCTGGAGGTTTCATCACATGACAATCTTTAATTAAAGATTCATTTTTACTGCCTGGAGACTCCAGGACAATCCTGGAGGATTGGCAACCCTCCTGAGATACTGTAGTGAATCAGAGAGGCTCATCTGGGATTGGACTCTAGATGTCTCCTGGCACCCAATCCTTTGCTCTGAGGAACTATGAAGCCACATGACCCCTTTCACCAGAAGAACATGAGGCCCTCTGTAGTCCAACGGCGTAGTTGCTTAGCTAACTGAACACATTCTATCATTAAAACTTTTTATCTGATTGCTTGTTCCTCCCCCTCACACAGCACTGGCCTGACAGTTGTAGAGCAGTTGTGAAGATCCCTTGAAGGCACCAGTTTATTTAAATTCTGGCCTGGAATCTCCCCTCCAGCAAGCTCCTGCCAATACCCACCCTCACCAGGACACTCCTATCTCTTCACCTTGAGCACCCCACTGCTTTCACCCTTCCAGCTCCTTCCTGTTTAAAAATAAAATTCTTTATGGCTGCTGCCCCCAGCCGTCACTTTGACCTCCCGCTGGACACAATTGTGCACCCACATGGTTCAGCCATTCTTGCTCCAATCTGAAGAGGGTTTTTTTCCCCATCTACTTTCTCTCAAAGGACAGTAAGTCACTTTCAAGTCCACTTCTTTGTGTAGTCAGTAAAACAGACTTAAATCACCTTTGTGATCAACTTAACACCACATCTCTATGTAGCCAAAGGAGGTGCATTTCTAGCACATGGCCCCTTTTGTTACAGCAATCATCCCTTCTGCACATTTCCAGCAGACAAACTTGATTCTGCTGTTTGGCAGTTAGAGAAGCAGGGGCGGCTCTACCAATTTTGCCGGCCCAAGAGCTGCCGCCGAATTGCCGCTGCGGGTCACGGACTGCCACCCCATTCTGAATGCCGCCCCAGACACCTGCTTGGAGCCGGCCCTGTAGAGAAGTGGTTGTTTTAAAAGACTATTTTTGATCTCTGAAGTTTTTTGGGTGGCCACCTTTATTTTTCTTTGAAAGATTTGTAACACAAGCTCATAAAAACAATCACTCAAACTAAATTTTCCAAAAGATAATTGGTGTGATTTGGTTGAGATAAGTAGGTAGATTCTGGATCATGCTCTGACCCCTTTGAACCACTCTGATTGCACAAAGTGGCAATTCATCTGGCTTAAATAGCCACCTGAGAATCCCTCTGGTAGTTGTCTCAGCTCATTCGGGAAGAAGGCTAAAGATGATTTTTTTTTTCTTTAACAAGATGACCCAGTGCATGTACATATTCAGGATTTTAAATCATCCACAACCATATGTGCATCACATGAATACAAACCAATGCATATACAATACAGCTGTGGCTATGAAGGAGGACAAAGACCATAATTGCAGCTGAGCAGCTTGCCATCTGGTATTTTCTCTCCGAAGGTACACTCTAGGATTCTCGGCTATATTTAGAACAGTGCCTCTGTTATAGGATTGAGGATTAAAAGTACTTTTTACAAAACTAAATTAACCTCTTTAAGATGCCTTCCCACTTTTTAGTAATCCAACAGGCAGATGAGGAAATGAAACTAAGGCACTTACAATGAATTTATTTAGGTTTTCAAAAGCAAGCATCAAAACACAGTCCCTGAATGTCACTGAATTACCAGCGAAGGGTGAAATTCACCAAGGTGCAAGGTTCTCTGCACACTGGGGGCAGTACAGAGAAACTGTGCAGGGATGGTGGGCCAAACAACCAATACACCATGGCTATTGAATTTCCTGTGTCTTGTAGACATGGCTCCGAAACGAATGCACTGAGGAAGCTGTTGGGAGTGCAGGCCATGTAATCTGTGCCTATTGGATACATTGCCTCCAGTTGCTTAGTAGGAGCAATAAGTGGCAGCTACTTCAACCCAATAACCTTGCTTACTCCCAACCAAAAAAAGCCTATGTAAAATCAGTCAGTGCAAGGGGTAGGGGAGAATTTCAGTAAAGCTGTAATATTTTTTCAAATCTATACTGTTTCTGTGAAGGCTGACCTCTAATCAGAGCAAAAAGAACAACTCAGGGGAATAATACCTTAATAATAATACTTATCATTTATAGAGTGCTGTATATTACTAACAACCTTATAAACATTGACTCACTAGTCCCCACAGCCTCTCCCCCCTGCCTCCACGAAGGAGGTGAATAAATAGTAACATCCCCATATCACAGATGGGGAAGCTCAGACAAAGAGAAATTAGTGATTTGTCCAAGATCAACACAGCAAGTCAGTGTGAGAGCCAAGGTAGAGATACAATTATATCAACAGATTTAAAACTATTCATAGTAGCAAATTATTTTAACTAAACATACAGGAAAAGATGCGTGGAAGGTATACATGTTTGCTTCTCAGGAGACTGTTTTCCAAACAAATTCTACTCATTTAATGTTAGCAGCCTTAGCAATGCAGTTCAGTATTTTACTTCTCTTTTCTTTTCCTTCCGCAGTGTCATTATTTGTGCTTAGAATTGTTCAGTTAGCAAAAAAGTAGCCAGTTACGGAAAGGGTTCTGTGGACTCTGTCAGATATTAACAGTCACCCAGGTTCAACATGAGTAGGCTAGGCTATTTCTGTGTCATTGTGTTGATATGATTTCACATCCCCAGATATGACTTTCTCTATCTGATTAATATTTCATGGCACCTAAACACCACACTGATAGGTGTATCAAAAACAGCTAGATAGATATTGTTGATGTATCCATAACTACAGAGTTAAAAAAGAAAATGAAGTTTGATTTTGTAGAGATTAGGGACAGAAAGCCTTACAGTTTAGAACCTCATCCACGTTTCACCATATTTGGGGGCCTTTGGATCTGATGGTTAGCTTTGAGCTCCTCTCTAATCAGAAACCAATCAGCTGTTTTTCCAAGTATATTCTTCATGACCTTTTTTCTCCTTCAGATTCTTTATACTGGAGTAGTGGTTTATGCTCCGGCATTGGCTCTTAACCAAGGTGAGTTTCCAGCCCAAAGCACATGGCTACACCAATCAACCATGTCACAACACAAGCAGGATAACTGAAGCAGACAGATTAAAACCAAAATGCTTTATAAAAGGTTCTGTACCTTCATTTTAGTAGCTCTACATTTGCTAGCTCGCCCACCCCCCTCTTGTGTCAGTACACCCGCAGGAGTCTGTCATTTACCTGCTCTATTTTAGTTTATACTAAAGAGTAACTTGAGGAGGTGAGTGCTGAACAGTTTCTCAATATCTTGGCAAAGTGCTCAGTACAAGGTGATGATCCACCACTGTACTGTGTACTTTGATTCTTTCTTCCCCTTCCAACAGCGCACTGATCTCTAGGGGATAAAACTGAGATCTCTCTATCTAGAAGTATTTCAGTTGTCTAACTCCCAGCAGGAAGGCTGAAGAGTAAGATTGTGGTGTCTCTGATACAGCAGGTGGCAATTCTCCAATGCCCTTGCATAGCTCTAAGTGGCTCTATGCTGCTGATCATAGCATGTTTCAGGGAAGATTTAAAACCAAGGTCCTGAATAATGATAAAGTTCCTATAAAGTTTTTTGTAACATCTCTCTTTCAAATTCCAGTGTAACTCCAATCCCTGTTTCCCCTGTAGCTACAACTGAATACTATGTTCTTCACTTTTTGTGCTAAAACCATTGTAAATCAGGGACTCATCGCTCAGTTTAAGTGTGTTGCGTATTGGCTATCTCCATGAAAGGAAAGGAATCCTCCCACACAGGCCATGGAGTGGTGCCATAAGAGGCTACTTCAGCCCAATGTGTCCATAAAGAGCGGATAGGAGTTGGGGAATGCCAGAGGACCCATGCAGTGGTGCATCATTTGACTCCATATTGGCTTCTCCCAGTCCCCTCCAACTCATTCCCCAGTGGAACTAGACTCTGTTTTATGTGGTATGAGTTACCCCCGAATTCATACCCTGCAAGGTGGAACCAATTAATGCTGTTCCTAGGACTGCTTCAGCTGCATGAGTGGGACCTGGATTGCCCCTGTAGGTGAGGCTTCATTCTACACAGAATTGCAATTTGTGCACTGAGTAATGAAACAATTTGGCATTTTTATTCTACTTCACTACGAACAGGGAGTTTCAGCCTACCTAAATTCACTGTGGGCCCTACAGCTTTGATGTTAAATTCACTTGAATTACTTCAGTTCGAGTTACATCAATGGGAGTCCTGCATACATATCTGACAGCAGAATTTTGTTCTCCCTCTTTCAATCATTGGAGTCTCTAAAGCACTTGGTACTTTAGTTGATATTATTAATTGCAAAGGAAAAAGAAATTCATCAAGGCAAATTTTATTACTCATGAAATCTGGACAAAAGGAGAACTAAGAAATCATTGCTCTAGAACAATTACATATTTAATTCTATCAACTGCAAGATCTTCCACATATCTCACAGAAATAGTTTTGATTTGGCCTTACAACATTATTCAACTTAATGATTACTCTCACACAAATGAAATGCAATTAATCACAATTTGCAAGAAGGCAGCAAAATGAAAGCAATGATACAAAACAATACGCATCAGAGTCAAGAAACCCTTATCTTGTAGAGGAGCGCCTAATAGGAAACCAATATTAAAGTTAATAAATACTCCTATCCTGCTGGAGTAAAAGGATCCAAGTTATTCCGATGAACTGCACCTGTTGTTTTACTACCAATTTGATTTTCTTTGGTTTTACAGTGACTGGATTTAATCTCTGGGGTTCTGTATTTGCAACAGGAATTGTCTGCACTTTCTACTGCACTCTGGTATGTAACTAACACAGTAGAAAGGTTTAAATACAGATGATAAAGGCTAACACTACTCAGATAAGAAGTAATAGAAACAGGGTTTCTAATTATAGCTAGAATGACTGAAGTTTGCATTAGTAAACATAGAAACATTTGGCAAGCTAACAATCTTTCAAATATTACATCTATTTTTGTACGTTTTATGGGAATAAGCAAACAGTTTTATATCTTCATCCCACACTCTGAATTCTCAAGGTTTAAATCAGATAGCTTAAGGCCAAGGCCAAGACTTTTCAGTTCAGAGAAGGAAGTGATAAACTTTCCTGCCATACTAAAGCTTCTGGGAAGAAGATAATGATCTCCCTGACTATGTTTCTCAGTCTATAATTTATAAATGGTAAGAGGACAAATTCATTCTTGGAATAACTCCAGCAAAAGTGTAGGGATAGAACCTGAGATGAACACACCCCACTGATCCCAGGCCTTATAAAGAGCTTCAATTTTGAGTGAAAGTATCATGAGAACATCCATGAGGATTTGTATGGGAGCAGATACACTTACTCTTTGAGGATTCATTGTGCAGTAGACAGTGATCACCAGCTTCCTGTGGATATCAAGGGTAACACTTATGCAATTTAGGCGCTTAAGTCCCATTGATTCTTAATGTATTTTTGAAAATGGAGCTTAAGCTCCTAAGCCACTTGGGCACTTTTGAAAATGTTAGTCTCTGTCTGAGCCTGAATACTGAGAGCTTGTAAGGAAAGGGAATCAGTCATTGGGGGAAAGTCAGTGGGTGGGATGTCTGGGACCAGGACTACCAGGATAACATTTGACAATTAAGCATGAAGCTGAAGCCAGAGGGACTCCGGGGCTGGAGGAGGGATATATAACTTTTAGTGGGTGGAAGAATTGGTGATGGAGTGAGGGTTGGTGGCAAGAGGCAGAGCCTAAAATGGCTACTGCCATGAGCTGGCAGCCACTTTACATAACGGATAGTCAATCTCTTTAATTAGGGATGCAATTTGTACACAAATCAGGGATAACACTCTAATTAAGAAGATTAATCATTTTCTTTCCAAACTCAAAATAATTAAAAAAGCCATTGCCCATAATCTGAGGTCTAAAATGTGGACTTTTTGGTGTAGGGATTTACACAATTTAATAGAAACGTTTCCATTATTATTTTTATTTCAATAACAATTTTCAAAAATTAATATTCCCATCCACTGCTGAAAATGAAAACCCCTCCCCCAATATTATGCTAGTCCATGATATCCAGAATATGAAATGACTATTAAAAAAAAAGGAAATTTGCCAGTTTAGTTTCAGTTTCCACATCATGGAGTTTTCTACTATCTTAACACAAAACAGGGGAGGAAAGATAGTCCTGTGGTTAAGGCACTGTACTGGGATTCTAGGGATCAGTTCCCGACTCTGCCACACACTTGTGTGTGTGATCTTGAACAAGTCACTTAATCTCTCTGTACTTCAGTTCCCAATCTGTAAAATAATACATCCTTTGTCCGAGAAGTAGAATGTAAACCGTTTAGGGCAGGAACGGTTTCTGACTATGTGCAAGTACACAGGGTAGGATTTACACCTTACGCGCTCCTAGGCATAGCTTCTTCAGCCCCCCTTCCCGCCTACAGCTGACCTTCATGTTGCACAGAGTTTTAAAGAGGTAAGGCACTACCAGAACACTGGTGACCCTAGGCACATGCCCACTGTGTCTAACTGAAAATCTGGCCCCACATGTACAGCACCTAACACAAGGCCCTGAGCTGACTTGGGGATTCTAAGCTCTACTGTGATGCAAACAACAACAAGAAAATGCAAATATACAACTTCTTATTGTTTTAGGGAGGATTAAAAGCTGTTGTCTGGACAGATGCATTTCAACTGGTTGTCATGGTGATTGGTTTCTTAACGGTTCTGATTCAAGGAACTATTCAGAATGGAGGACCTACCAACATCTGGGCGAATGCCAACAATGGATCACGCCTAGCAGTATTTGAGTAAGCACAACATAAACGCTGCCTGTAATTCTCATTATGTTTTTTTCACATTTCAGATAAAACCCTACTGGCATTAAGCTGCATTTAAACATTAATAATTATTAAGAGTTAATTTCTGTGACAATGAGTGGTTCTTATTCCTCAATAAAAGTATTGCAGATTGACTATGCTTTAGGAGGTAGCGTGCTTTAAGTCAGTGGTTCTCAGCATTTCCCAACTACTGTACCCCTCTTTAGGCATCTGAAACTCGAGCCCCGCCACCTGGGGCTGAAGCATATAATAGCTTTGCAGGGCCACAGGCAATTGCCCTGCTTGCTGGTCCTGCACTTGTGACCTCCCTAAACCCATCCAGCGATCCCCTTGGGAATCGTGACCCCCAAGTTGAGAAACAATGATCTTGATGAGTTGACGTACCCCCTGGAAGACCACTGCATATCCCCAAGGGTACGCATGCTCCTGGTTGAGAACCACTGCTTTAAGTATTCAAGCTTTAGTCAAGTCATCCAGCTCTTGGGATGTTCTATAAGTTCCATAAAGAACTCTCATTCCTTTCTTTCCTAATGTGTTTCGGTAAAATCCTGGCTGCACTGAAATCAATGGGAGTTTTGCCAGTGACTTCAGAAGGACCAGAATTTCAGCCCTTATGTTTATCTCTCCATGGACCTTTTTCTAGGATATTCCCCACCCCCTTTTCGCACATCTTAACTTTCCCCATCTTTAAAAATACCACATTATTTTAAACACACTTGCCACTGTAGCTAATACTGCTGCCACAAGACTGGTGCCTGCTGTGGTGAATTGGCCTCCCATTGGCGGCTGTTTAGAAACGAGCAGCAGCGACAATGGTGCTGTTATAAAAAAAACTAAATGTACTATTTTATCAACAGCCGTTCTTGGATCAGAAATTAACAGAGCTGTAACGGAAAGGGAGTTGTACAAATAAAAATAAGATTAACTTTAGTTATATTTATTAAAATAAAATTACAAGGGTGATGAAACTTAAGGCATCAGCTAATTGCTAGTTTAACTCTGGAAGACATTTATCTTCCTGGGCTAATATATGGTGATAGTATGACTATAATAATTAGGTGGATTATGGAGCTTTTATGTCTGAATGTATGTGGCATTGTCCCCTGCTGGGAACAGGATACCGAATGAGATGGACCATTAGTCTGTTCCGGAGGGGAGGGGGGGGCAACCACTTACTTGTGTGCTTGTTATAACTAGTGACTGGTGCAAGGCCAGTAAATATAAGTCTAACTTTCTCACATTTATAAGTCTCAGTATATCTGAGGTATAACACAGTGATTAGATATTCTTTTTAGCAGAGTAAACACACAAAAGCTTTGCTGTTTAATGATGAATTTGGGCTGAGCATTAGCTACTCAGTACGTCTGATTTAGACAAGTGTCCTAACTGCAGATTCAGATCTTTTGGTATTCCTCAAAGCTCAGGGGTGTTGGAAACTAGACCTTTGGTTCAGGCATATCTCTATTGTGCCTGAATGTTGGGTTTAATCAAGTGGAGCTGAATTACTTTCCTCTCTGTCTTGTAGCTTTGATGTAGATCCTTTAAGGCGACACACCTTTTGGACAATCACAGTTGGGGGAACCTTTACGTGGTTAGGAATCTATGGAGTTAATCAGTCCACAATACAGAGATGCATTTCCTGCAAATCAGAAAAGCAAGCTAAACTGTAAGTTGTCTAGTATCAAGAATGAACCTAAACTATTCTCATAATCAGACGTAATTTATTTCTAACTCTTCTTCTACGGGACTATTCTAATAACTTTTCAAATATACACAGGGAGCCTGGTATGGGCAACTTAACAGAGATTTAAACATCTAAGGGCGAGATTCTGAAACCTTTATTCACATAGAGTTGTATTGAGTAGTCCTGATGCTCTTTGGGACTATTCATGGAGTAAGAAACTGTTTAAACTTTGGAAAACCTGCCTCAAAGTGAATCTTCAAAAGTGGGGTTTGTATATCCTATTAAGAAGTTCACACTGGTGTAATGGAATGCTAAATTGTATTACAAGTTCAGCCATTAGCTGGCAGTGTGTGTAAAAATTCCTTATATTTAAACAAATCTCAGCCATACCTGGCAGAGCATTAAAGGATGTAATGATGAATATATATGGTGTGTATCTTGATCAAAAGGAAGCTCTGTGACCACTCCATATCTGGTACAGAAGTACATGACAATTGGTATCTACGGTATTCTTGAAAAAAATGGAAAACCTTTTTAATGTATAAATATCTCAATAAACTGTCATTAAAAACAGAACTAGTATGTACAGAAAAAGACATGCAACATATCAAAAGATTCAAATATCTTCATGAACTTGCTCCCAAGTGCCTAGAGCTGGTTAAATAATGCAAAAAAGGGTTTTGCTCAAATGTTTGACTTTGTAAATGAATTAACTTTGATCATAGTCATTTTGATATTCATTTTCTGTGAAGATGTAAAAGACTGAGTTTTCCTGACAAAAATTTGTAGGAAGTGAATTTCAAAATCACACCCATGGTCATTCATTCAAGCTAAATGTTAAATTCATATGAACAGGTATTTGTACAACTGCCTACACACTTATTCAGTATGGAACAGAACAAATACCATGTGACCTTACTTAACCTGTCACAACTGAACAACACAGCTCAGATCTCTCAAATATTTATCAACCCAACCCAGAGAATAAGGACTTTGAACAGATCTTCTTCTTCAAATAATTCTGAACAAAGACATTTAAAGAAACCACAATCTACTTCTTGACGTTCCACAATCAGAAAGCCTAAATTCATTACATAAATTACTTGTTGCAAATTACTCCCACAGCTCTACATGTGACAATCCCTCCCTGATTAAAATAAAATACCTATCTTCAAAGATCTGCTTTATGGATTTTTTTCCAGCAGTGGAAGGAGAGAAGTATGTTTGGCAGCAGGCTGCAGGATCCTCCTTCCATGACAGGAATTCCATTTGGAGGACGTTCCATAGTCCTCTCTGGACAACTTGCTTCAGGAGAAATTAAATGAAGCAGCAGCACCAGGGTCTCTCACATTCTAGAGCAGTGGTTCCAAAAGTACACCCCATGTGTCAAATACCAAGTCCTGGGACATGCAAGATTTACATGTAGCAGCAGGAGCAGAACTCAGCAGAAGAGGCTTTCAGACCAATTACCATTCATAAGAAAAAGGGGAGAGAAGGGAAACTTATTCAAACCTCTCTCAGGCCATAAAAAGATTTAGGTTTTGTTCTGGCAACAGCCACAGATTCAGATTGATTCTTATTTTGTCCAAAATTAGTTCACGCATCCCTATCTATGACACACATGGTAATACAATCAAGACAGCATATTTTTATAGAGACCTAAAATCCCATCTGTTCAACAAGAAGGGGAGCGGGGGGGAAGAATTTCCTTTAAAGTAACATAGTGTTATTCAATGCAAATTCACCCTGGGGACAGAAAACCTATTACAGCACAGGTGGGGATCCAGGGCTGTACACAATACCATGTCTATGTTGTTACTCACTGCCACTTTCTTATACATTTTGTGTCTCCTTAACACACGTGATCTCAAAATGCTCCTTCAAGGGCTGGGAAGAAAATAAAGTTTTAAGATATGATTAAAAGGAAAAACAATGTAACACAGTGTCTCAGTGGGAAGTGGAGAGAGAGTTCAGCGGGATGGGGCTGGCCAAGTGAAAGTGTGACCACTGACTGTGAAGAGTCTTGGGAGACCAAGACTGGAGGAGGGAAGGATAGATGGCTAAGAAGTCAGAGAGGTCTTTTGTATCAGGATCCCTAGAGAGTTTTGAAATTCAGGAGTGTAATTTTGAATTAGATTTGGCAATGGCTAGGAAGTCAGTGAAGGACAATGTCAAAATGCAATACAGATTATGTAAGACCTCACAGGAATACAACATTTCTAAACTATAGACAGAAAATCCCAAGAGTGAAATGCTGTCATCCAGGTGTACCTCAAATATTTGCTGATGGGGAATACAGATTCATTTATGTGGTGAAATTATAAATGGGCCAGATTCAGTACAAAATAATATCCCATCTGACTTCAATGCATAACTTCAGCAACTCTTGAGAAATTAAATCAGTTTTTAAAGGCTTATATGTAAGGATGGCCATAGAGAGATTCTTCACATCCCCTTCAAACACATTCAAGAAGTTTGGCTTATAACATCAGAATTGTGGTTCATTGTAAATCTGCTTCTTGAAGCTGCACCAAAAACATTTCACTCATTTACATTTGTCCTTAAATATAGTGAATACCTTACTTTTTCAAAATATTGGTGCTCCCCAAAAATATCAACATTCACACAAGCCAAGAAATGAAGAGATGGTATCATTTATTTTCAGTGGAGTTTCTGAAATGTAGGAGAACAACTTGGGTAGCCAGTAATGACCTTGCCATATTTGTGTTGAATTAGACATAAAAAGGTCTCTCTCGCTCTCTCTCTTTTCAGTGCACTGTACCTTAATTTAGTGGGACTCTGGGTAATCCTAGTGTGTGCAGTCTTTTCAGGCTTGGTGATGTATGCCCATTTTAAGAACTGCGATCCTTGGACTGCTGGTTTCATTTCAGCACCTGATCAGGTATAGAATCAGATTAATGGCGTAAATGAAAAGATAACCATTAGACCCTGATTCAAGAAGGCACTTAAGCATGTGCAAAGTCAATGGGACTGTTCATATGCCTACATCCTGGCAGGTGCCTTGCTGAACCAGGCTCTACAATATGACAATGCTGTTAATTTTTCCTGTGTCATGTATGAATTTTAGGTTTTTAATTTATGCCATAGTCAAATACTACCTCACTTTTGTATTGGTTCAGTATGACTTAAAGGCTTCTCTCTTTTTTTTAATTTATTTTTTTGGTTTATCATTTTGAATTCCATGTTAGAATTGAGGTGGCTGAATGAGGATTTCTGTTGAACTCCTCACTTTTGTATTGCAATGTGGTCAGAAGTAGCGACTGCATCTGCAGAGTCCAGAAAATGTCCCAGTTAACATCCTCTCTTGTTCGGTGTGTGTGTTTTCTCCTAGCTGATGCCTTATTTTGTTATGGACATATTTTCCACAATGCCAGGACTCCCCGGACTATTTGTTGCATGCGCATTCAGCGGAACCCTCAGGTCTGTGTCTGAAATTGTGTTTTGTCTAGTATGTGCCATTGCACATACTGCCTTGACTATGCAAACGTTGGCAAAACTGACAGTTCATCAAAGAACCAAACCCTGATCAAAATGCTGAACATGAAAATGCAGCAGAATTTCTCTTTCACTTGGCCCAGCTAAGAAATGCTGCAGTGGTTTGTCTTTCTATATCAGACTCATGCTAGAGTCTGAGTATGCTTTGGCAGTTACATTTTCCTATCCCCTTCAAACGCATTCAAGAACCACATTATTAACACCAACAAGGGAGCGGAAAGATCGGCGAAATATCAATGTCCTCTTTAAATGAAGCTCAGCCTCCTGAGCTAATGCAGCTGTGAAGATTTCAATCCCTTTTATTTGACTTGACTGGTACAATTGTACAATTAGGAAACCAAATGGAGGCCACAACAGTGTGTCTGGCTCAACATAAAACCACTATGAAAATAATATAAATACACTGTCAAAGTAGAAAAAAAATGTGTCTGAAGAAATCATTCTCCCTCAGGCTGTGCTGAGTACTGGATAGTAGTAATTGGCTTGTAGGCAGTAGTAACTACATCATCAGTGTTCAAAGGAAAGTTAGAAAGAGATGGAAGGTTGAAGTCCAGACTGGCAGCAGGCAGACTTGCCACAGACTCAAACTCATAAAAGCCATCTGAGAATTACCACATTCATGCTTCTGTTCCCTGCACAGTCATGTCAGGATCACAATGGTCTTGATTCATATGAAACCAGTTCCATTCCATGTCTCGGATTAGGTGAGCCAATAGAACTGATATTCTCATATGTACAATAAGTATACTCAATTAATTGTAGTGCCTTAAGAAAAGGATGTGAATTATCCTACCTGTAGGCATAAATTACACCCAAGTAACCTCATTGGGACAGATTCTGATCAGTTGTAGTGTGAATCCAGAGCAACTCCACTGAAGTCAGTGGATTTACACCAGGATAACTCAGTGAGGTCTTTGCCTATTACGAGCTCAAATTCTTTCTCAGCTTGAAGAAAAAATCCATTGGTAAAAGTAACTCTCAAAACACATTTTCTATGTCCACCATGTATTTAAGTCATTTTAGTCATTATTTTGTGAAAATTGACCTCAGTAGGGTAGCATGGGTCTAACTGAGTGTGGAACCAACCACTCTGCACATTACTGGTGCTATACAATACAACAATGAAATGAATGATAGCATTTGTGGAGGGAGATGTAACTGAATATGATTTTAATTTGTATTATTATTTTAGTAACTATTTTGTGCAGGCTAACACCAATGGGTTTGCCTGGGTATAACTGATGAAAGAATAAAGAACCTAACATACTTGTGCTGCTGTACCTATAACAACAATTTCCCCTGGATTACTTGCTAAGTAAAGTCCTACTCAGCATGAGCAAGGGTGTCAAAATTATGCCTTGAGTAATTACGGTTCTTATTTGGCACAGAGTATGTGAAAGGAGTAGCTATTATAGTTGCGGGCATTATGGTCTGAGAATAGATGGCTGTATTAGATAGCGTGAAATGAACCATTCTTTGGGGAATTTTGCCAAATTGGACTTAATTAGTTATGATGCTTTCCAGAAAAATATGGTACCAGCACTATTTATTTCATGCCCTTTGGAGTCTAACATAGCGATGTTCTTGTTTGACTTTTTTGAGAACATGGAAAAGGTCTATGCAGTTTCGGCAAGTGGAGGATTTGGTACCGTGTGTCTTAAGTAGGTGCTTCTATCTTGTTCTGAGTGAGCACCAAAAGTGGCATAAGTGAAAGGCCCCTCATGATTGCAGCGGGAATGGGAATGGTTCCAATGTCCTCATCTCTCAGTGGTCAGTCTGAGACTAGGAGCTTGTGCTCATGATTTTGCTAGTCTCAATAAGTTCCAGTTGTGGGGCTTAAACTCTGCAGTCATTTAATCAGTTATATCAAGTGATACCCACAGAATGACAGCTTAATGACTATTCATATATAAAAAAAAGAAATAATTGCCAATCAGCCAGTCTTTTCAAGAAATGTTCAAGGTAGATCATAAACAATATGATTCATCTGTTAATATTTTGGCCAGCACATTTTAGATCAACATAATGTTATTTGGGAGTTATTTCTGTTAATATGATCATAATTGTAAATTATTGTAAAATGTTTGTTTTTACAGCACTGTGGCTGCAAGCATAAATGCTCTAGCAACAGTAACATTTGAGGATTTTGTCAAGTACCGTTTTTCAAATCTCTCTGAAAAAATGAGCACCTGGGTCAGCAAAGGCTTATGTAGGTACAGTAGATGGATCTTCTACTTATGCATATTTATCATAATGCCAAAAGTATTTTTTTAACCCTTCTTCTCTAGTCAATACCCCTTTGTTTCTTTATACATCAACACAAAATAGAAGTTTTTGAATGCTCATGGTATTTATGCAATGAGGTCCTGATATCACTAGCTTATAATAAGGTGTTAGTAAATATGGAGTAACCAAGACTGTAACTTAATAAATAGGTGTATATGACTTCTGCAGCGCCCTTGTTTTCTTTCTGAAGTAAAATGCAGAACTTAGTATTGCATCGAGTTTTTGAATAACCTAATAATGCTGAATTTCTTGCTAACCTATTCTCTGCTCGCAGTCCTTCAAGAGTCTGGAAAAGAGAAGACTGAGAGGGGACATGATAACAGTTTTCCAGGACATAAAAGGTTGTTACAAGGAGGAGGGAGAAGAATTGTTCTTCTTAACCTCTGAGGATAGGAGAAGAAACAATGGGCCTAAATTGCAGCAATGGAGGTTTGGGTTGGACATTAGGAAAAACTTCCTAACTGTCAGGGTGGTTAAGCACTGGAATAAATTGCCTAGGGAGGTTGTGGAATCTCCATCGTTGGAGATTTTTAAGAGCAGGTTGGACAAACACCTGTCAGGGACAGTCTAGATAATACTTAGTCCTGTCATGAGTGCAGGGGTCTGGACTAGATGACCTCTCGACGTCCCTTCCAGTCCTATGATTCTCTGATTCTAAGATACTGCCTCTTACAGTGTTAGAAGTTTTCAGTTTTTGCTTCATGTTGCATGATGAAAAATTCACATTATGAGAACAAAAGTGAATACTCTTGTGGAGTATTCAATATTGATGCCTCTGGTACTACTCATGTGCTCGAATTTTAGCACTCGTGTAACTTTACAGGATTGAGGCCAGAGGGGGTTGTTCTCTTAATGTGAATTTTCATCATGCTATATGAGTAAAGTTATACATGTGCTTAATTATTTGTAGGATGAAAGCCTGCATTTATATGTATGAACAAGGGACTGTGTCAGACTCCTTTAAAAAAGTTTAATAAAGTTTTAATGTTGAAAGCACTGGGGAAGCTCAAGGAAAACTCATTTGTGATACCCACAGAATGGCAGCTATAAATCATTTCTAGCCTGTCTTAGAGGATCACTATGCAGTGTTATTGTAGCTGTGTTGGTCTCAGGATATTAGAGACATAAGGTGGGTGACATAGTATCTTTTATTTTATTTTCTGTGGGTGAAAGAACAAACTGTCAAGCTTACACAGAGCTCTTCTTCAGGTCAGCTTTTGAGCTTGGTGTAGCTTGAAAGCTTGTCTCTTTCACCAACAGAATTTGGTCCAATAAAGGCTATTACCTCGTCCACCTTATCTCTCTTAGAGGGTCACTGTCAGCTTGATATTTTTAAATAGTTGATATATAAAAAAAATCAAGTTTCTGACAGTGCATCCTTTAAATAATGTGTTGAATTTTAAAAATATCTTTAGAATATTTATATGGATATTGCTGCTCTCCTACAGATTTTCATTAAGTTCATATATAGGGTAAGACCACAATCACACTCAGACCCTTCATCTCTGTCCATTTGTCTGCCTGTGACCTCAGTTTTAGCTTTGCTGCTGCCGTTACTTTAAACATCCTCACGAAGAACACCCATGTGAGTGCCACACAGAGCAATGCGTGAGAGCGTTGCCATGCTAGTGCATGAGATAGGACAGTGGCTAGGATGAACTGAAACCAATTATACAGTCAGATGCAAAAACTGAACCAACTGAAAACACTGGAGAAGACTGTTTTTTTCGCTAACTTCCTTCCTTTTTTGCACAGAGACGGGATTTCTAAATTAATGCTAACTATTTAATGCTGCTTTGGTAAAGAGATAACAGGATCTGATGTTGAATAGTTCAGTAAAATATGGTCCCCTTTAAACATCAAAGCCCACAATGCAAATTCCTTCATTCTGCCTGATCTTTCAGATGATGGGAAAGAACAATAAACCCAATAAAAAAAACCAATCTTGGAGCTGCAGAGCAATTTGAGGAAGTCCATACCACTGATCACTGATGCACTTGTAACTGCTGCTAATATTAATCATTAATCTCTTTCAGGTATAGTATTTGGAGTGCTGTGTACTTCCATGGCTGTGGCAGCATCACTTCTGGGAGGAGTTGTCCAGGTATTTAAATATCCAGAGACTCACTGAGCTCTACAACTAAAGAAAATTGATCTTGTACCCTGTTTGTTCTCTTTTCTATTAAATCATATTTTCTGTGAAATACAAATGGTGTTGTATAACGAATAAACAGACTATAAATAATAATAATAGTAAGCACTCCTGACAGGATGAGTGCTTTACATAATCCATTGAGTGAAGAAATCTGCTTGTTGAGTGCAATCCTAAACAATCAAAGTAAACCGGAGCACGTTTGAGTCCTTTCTGACATGCCGTTCCAGCTTAATATTAATATCCAGTATTGCCATTGCCACCTTAGTGTTAAGGTAACTTCTGTGACCAGTAACAAAAATAACAAGGGCAATCATTGCAAAAACTTTATCATTGGAAAGGTAAAACACCAATCACAATGTTTCTTCTTTAACAATATTCTGACGGAATTTGCATTTTATAATTTGCCATTAAAATATTACAAAGCAGAAATCAGAGCTCTGCATGCATCAGAATGAGAACATTAAAAAGGTGTGATAAGAATAAGACTGTGGATATATCAAGTGACATTGATTAGCCCTGAAAAATGTCTCCTGTGCGTTGTTTCAACAGGCTTCACTCAGTATTCACGGCATGTGTGGGGGGCCCATGCTAGGATTATTTACACTGGGAACTGTGTTTCCTTGTGCTAATTGGAAGGTAAGAGGTGACGATCATTGTCTCAGTGAGTTTCCGCTTGCTGGTCCTTCATTTATATGATCCTCCTTTTATTATTATTTATTATTATTATAAAATAATAAAATATAATAATAATAAAAATACTGTAGCACCTAGGAGCCCTAGTCAAGGACGAGAATGCCATTGTGCTAGGTACTATACAAACACAGAACAAAATGACAGCCCCAACCCCACAGATTCTGTGCCCTGCTTTGAGGCCTCTTACTCGAGATTAGTCCAAACCTACCCCACCCCCCATTTATCAACGCTCCTCCATTTTGGAGCTTGTTCAGAAAACTATTGACAAAATTCAGACCTTCCCCACTCCCACACTGTGAAGGCCATGGGGCTTCAGGCTATGAAGTAGCCCTTGTGTAGCTACTCTTTGTTCACAGGCTGTAATAACAACTGCTGACTCATAGCACTTCCTATGTGAGGGTTCTAATGCCACTTCAGATTTGGGTACATGTGGATCCAGTGGCTCCTCCCCTGGCTTACCCAACAGCACCCTCCTGAGAATAGGTTGGCATGGGGACTCCAGTGGCCTTGTGTGCACCATCTATGCTGGGTGGATTCTACCATTACAGAATATTCAGTTCAGTCCATGGTACATCATTTATAGAACTGAGTTTCCATAGTAATAGATGTGGGATGTCTGTGCATGTATGAAAGGGCCATATAACTCTAAACCAGCATGAAGAATGTGTTACTGGAGCCTCTACAGTCAAATCTACTTAATTTATATTTTGGCTGAATAAAGCCCTGCGACTTCAGCCACAGATACAAAGTCCTCATTTGCCAATTACCACCACTCACTGAATAGAGAATAGTTCCCTACATTTAGAATAGGAAATAACTCTGGTAGCTCAGATATCGCTTTGTGGCAAATGTCGACTGTCTAATGCAACCACCCTCTATTTGAATTAAATCTCCAAACAAAACAGAGCAGTAAATGGGCAAAAATAGTATAATTCCATCTGGCTATATTTGTAATTCAAGCTAACATCTATTCAGTACAGGCAGTGAAGAATGGACTGCAGGAAGGTATTTATACCATGGTAAAATGTTCACTTTAAAAGTGTAATCATTATGAAGGAGCTTCACATGGGAATATTAGTTTTTACAGGGAGCAAAGAGGGTCATTTCCGAGTAAATTTTCAGCACATGGTTTAAAAGCTAGTTTTATCCATTCAGTGTGCAGCACGCAGGAAAACAGGCTTTTCATCTGAATTCTGCCCTTCTGTTGCATTATCATGTCTGACAACAGAAAAGGTCAGACTTCAAACTTGTGACAAAATTTCAAGTTTCAATTAAAAAATAGAAGAGAAAAAATTACTAACAATGCCCCAGCCCAATTTTTGACCCACTCTACCAAATAAGGATGAATTCAGCACCCTTGGAGCGAATGGGAGTTTTCGAGTGCAGGACCAAGCCATTATCACCTGATTCCATGTGTGCAGTGACGTATTTCAGTTCTGTCTAATAATATATCTTGCTTTATTTAAGGGTGCTGCAGGAGGCCTATTGACTGGGATCACCTTAGCATTTTGGGTTGCTATTGGAGCTTTTGTTTACCCAGCACAGCCTTCAAAGGCCCACCCTCTGCACTTATCAACAGCCAACTGCACTCTAGCTAACAACTCAGAGATGATAACTACATTGGCTCCTACTCTCCCTCCAATCAGGTATTTTCCATTGATTTTTGTGCGGTTTTGTCACAATGTGAGTTTTTGAAATTAATATTCTGTTCTATAAAGGTACTTACTGCATGACATCAGCTCTGGGCTACAACAGTTGCCCAAATTGTGCTCCATGACACTTCAGGGGTCTGAGGGCATGCTGATGATCTCCAGACAGCTCGTTGGTCACATGATGCACGTTCTCCTCCAGCTGCTACATAACACGAAAGAAAGTTGAAAATACACTAAATACATCCCTAATATTACCTTTCCATGTAAACAATTAGGAACATGGGATAGGTAGGGACCTCCTGGGTCATGGAGTCAAGTCCCCTGGTACTGCACGCAATCCCGTTTTATAATCAGATTGCTGCAGGGATGTTCCTGGATTATGAAATTGTAGGTGTCAGGGAAGGGTGTCCATAAGATGATCTATAATGTGGTCCACCTTGTGAAAAGTTTTTTAGTATCACTTCAGTTACCATGTTGTACCTTGCTTAGGGTCCTGTTGAACTCCCAGTGATGTCAATGGGAAAGCTATCCATTGACTTCTGTGGAACTTTTAAAGAGGAACACTTTCAAGATACATACAGCTCAATAGCTAGCGTTAAGAAAAGGCCAAACCAGGTATTACTAAGAGATTAACTGAGCAGGCACAAGTCAATTCCATCTTAGAGTGATTCTAGAAGCACGTTAGGGTATATCTGTAATATAGAAGAGGTGTGAAGGGAAGTTATAAATAAAATATAAGGGGCTGGTTAAACGACTGAAAGATCTGTAACTGTGGATCTAGCATTAACTAACTGCACCCAACAAAAGGCAGAACCAGCGCTCAGAACCTTACAGGACTGGGCCTTAAATTATCTGCATTTATAATTACTTGGAAAGGAGAGATTGACAAGCATAAAGCCACTTGACAATACCAATTTTTGTGACACATACAATTCTAGCAGTGACCATTAGCCAGAAGCAAACTATTTGTTAAAATGCTAGAACTATCTGGACCCAATGCAGTTCTATCCATACTGGACATGTGTTCTGTTCTTGATGTGTGTATGCGGTTATCTATGTATAGAACTGTCTATTACTTCTGGTTTTTTTTAAATGATTTTTTATCTGAGACAATATAGTTTTGTCCTTCATAGAAAGACATTTATAAGTCAATGGCAATTATTGCTAACGTATTCTTCCTCTCTTCTTGTGCTGCCATAGGCCTCAACTGGCAGATACTTGGTATTCCTTGTCCTACCTTTACTACAGCGCTGTGGGCTGTTTAGGGTGCATTATTGCAGGCCTTCTGATAAGCTTTTTAACAGGTTGGTTACTTATTAAAGGTTTTTTGCATTAAGATTCGACTAGAATCAATTGTTTTAGAATTCTACAGATATGTACAAGGGTGCAAACTCGAAACCCAGACACTTATTGGAAAGCAGTGGAGCTAAAACTGGGCCACTTGAGTCTAACTCAGGGGTGGGCAAATGTTTTGGCCTGCGGGCCACATCTGGGTGGGGAAATTGCATGCAGGGCCATGAATGTAGGGCTGGGGCAGGAGGTTGGGGTGCAGAAGGGAGTGCAGGGTGCGGGAAGGGGTGTGGTGTGCAGGAAGGGGCTGAGGAAAGGGGGTTGGGGTGCAGGAGAAGGTGCGGGACTGCTTAGGGCAGGGGTGCATGGAGGACTGTGGGAGGGGGCTCAGGGCAAAGGGTTAGAGTGCAGGAGGGGTTCGGGGTGCGGGCTGCTGCCTGGCACCGCTTACTTTGAGTTGCTCCGGTGTGGCAGCAGCACTCACTAGGGCCAGGGCAGGCTCTTGGCCCCTGGGTGGTGGGCAAAGGGCTCCGTGCTCTGCCCTCACCTGTGGATACCACCCCCAAAGCTCCCACTGGCCTCAGTTCCCTGTGCTGGCCAATGGGAGCTGCAGGGGGCGGTGCCTGCAGGTGAGGGCCGCGCATGGAGCCCTCTTCCCCACCCCTAGGGGCCGCAGGGACATGCTGCTTGCTTCTTCTGGAAGCAGTGTGGGGCCGGCAATCCTGCAGGCTGGATCCAAAGCCCTGATGGGCCGGATCCAGCCCGCAGTTTTCCCCCTCCTGGGCTAACTGGTTTGTAGATTCCCATTCACTGAGGTTTCCCAAGGAAATTCTGGGTATGTTAACTATGGATGGATCTGGAGGTTTGAAAAACAGCAATAGCAGACAGACTTACTGCCCTAAAGGGGAGTCTAAAACTGTCATAACTATGGGACCTCTGCAGCTGGAGGAATTTAAAGCAGTGCTTACCCTGCTCTAAGTTACACTGCAGAGCAGTTCAGCCTCCAGTGGCCCTAAGATCAGGGGACAGAAAAATGGTTTAGCTCCACCTTACCCCACCCTCTCAGCTGCTCTGATGTGAGTATGGCCCAGCTGAGCATTCAGCTTGTTATCTTCTTGTTTTTATTAGAGAGATCAAACTAGTTTTCATTTTAAAATGAAACAAAAATAAAATGTCAAAATGAAGCAAGCAAACGCATTTAAACTCTTCCTCAATATTTACATAATTAATAAACAGAGATGCTCATCTGACACCCTCTCCCCAATGCAGCCCTAGATGAGATCAATACAAACTCCCTAAGTGGATATTTATCTCAGCCAGATGGATTAATTGCTTGAGACCATGACAGCTGAGATTCATCTGGGCAAAGATGACAAGTGAGCCACCACACAGACCATGGAATAACTACCTGTCTTAGCTTCATCTGTTGTCTTGTGTCTCTTTTCTCTGCTTAGATGTCCATGGAGCATACCATTAACAACGATTTTTATTCTTTCCAGGCCCTGCTAAAGGAAAAGACATGAAGCCACTGTTAATACGTCCTGTCTGCAACCTGTTTTGTTTTTGGTCTGAAAAATGCAAAACATTATGCTGGTGTGGCGTGCAGCATGACAGCACAAAAGTGAGTCTATTTCATAACAGAACCGCACACGACAGTATTATTCAGTGCATGCTGTGCAAAGTATTTGACAAACGGATCAGATTTAGACATCAAATTCTAAATTCCTGCTGCATACAGCAGAAAAGGCCACAAACAGTTAAGTGGAAATCAGACCAGAACTGAAAAAAATCAGCCTTATTTTGCTCATTATTTAGCCCCAAATCATGTTACAATATGTCACTATTTACCAGGTACAGAAGGATCACGGAATCTAGAGAGGAAGAAGCCCTGTTATGTGAAGTCAATGCTCCTTGTAATGCATGGTATAATCTCTTACACATCAACAGGGAGCATATCAGAAATTTAATCTTAGCCAAAAGGCCAAGAAGAGAGGTCAAACAAGGGATTATTTAATGTTTAAAGAAACAAAAATACAGAAGAAATGGACAGGCACCAATCTTCCTATGAGGTCTTAAAAACATATCTAAAGATTAGAATTAGGGTAATATTTTCAAAGTATTTACATGATTTAAGAGTTTAAGTTCAATTTTCAAATGTGACTCAGGCATGTAGGAGCTTAAGTCCCATTGACTTTCATTGAAACATAGGCACCTAAGGCCAGATTTTCAAAGCTATTTAGGTGCCTAAAAGTGCATATAGGTCTCTAGTGGGATTTGTAAAAGCACCTATGTGTCTGGAGCCAGATCTTTAGAAATAGGAGGTGCCTAACTCCCATTGATGTCAATGGAAATTAGGCACCTAGACATTTTGAAAATCCCACTAGGTGCCTCTCTGTATCTTTAGTTGCCAAAATGCCTCTGAAAATCTAACCTTAATTGCCTAAGACAAATTGCCTTTTGAAAATGAGCATTTTTGGAAATGTTACTCTTATTCCTTTTACCAGTGGAAAATGTGCATAGTGCATAATGCAGTATTTCAGAAATGAAAGTACTGTAGGTTTGTGAAGAACATGTGCTGGGAAGCTGCAAGAGTACTTGTGTGGTTTTGAATTCTGCAGATGCAATCAGAACTGAATTGGGGTTCAGGATCTGGGGAGGAAATGAGAATTAGGCAGCATGGACTGCCTTTGAGATGATGGATAATTTTTTTGCTCATATTACATTCTTGCAAACATATCAGGAATTACAGCAGAAACATGAAAATTGGGATAAGAGCAAAAGAAATGATCTGTCCTCTTATAGAACAAGAAAACCTGACCACCTAGTTTCTATGATCTGCTCATTTGTGTCAGTCTTATGTGGCAGTTGAGGAGAGCATCATTCTAAGGACATGATTCTGCTCCCATTGAAGTTAACATCAGTTTTGCCACTGAGTTCAGTGGGGTCAGGTTCAGGCTTTAGATACTTATTAGTACACCTTTTAAAAGTGTCTGGGACTGGGGCTAAATATTAACAAGCCAAAGGACACAATGGAGGAAAAGATGTAAAGTCAATTCCTTGCTTTTGTTTCTGTTCTGAAAAATGACTGTAAAAGCCACATGGTATATTGGATTCTGTCATATATGTGTTTGAAGAGGTCCATATTGTGCTGGGCCTATATAGAGCTTTCCTGAGCTATATGCAGAAATAAGGCTCCCATACACTCCTAAAATCTTGGGTCAGAATGCAGGTCTGGTGGTGGCAATGGGGACCAAAGACTGCACAGCTGTTACTCCTTCCCTGTCTTGGAGCAGGTGGGTAGAAAGGAGGCAAAAGAGGGGCAGAACCTTGGTTCCACCCTCCTAATACACTGGCCAGTGAAGCTGAGCATCCAGGAGGAGGAAAGCAGACAAGATGCCCAGTAAATATCTGTGACAGATTATCCACCCCTTCCCCCAGGTGTCAGTGGGAAGGATTTGTGACTATCTCAGTCATGATTCCAGCCTGATGCTCCTCCTAGCATAGTGCTGCCCTGTACTTTGGGAGGTTCTGTGGCCTAGTGGATAGAGCACTGACCTGAGGCTCAGGAGACCTGGTTCTGCCACTGGCCTGCTGGGTGACCCTGGGCAAGTGACTTCACCAGTCAGTGCCTCAATTTCCTTATCAGTAAAATGGGGATAATGAACATATAAGCAATTATTATTATTACTCAGGGCACTGAGGAAGCAAACTCTATATAAATATGTTTTTTTCCTAACTGCCAGCTCAACCTGAGCTCTGAGAGTTGAGATGGCTCTTCCCTTCTTTTGCACCACTAAGTGTAATAAAGACTCTTTAGGAAACTCTCTCAGCCCATGTAGATCACACCTGTGGATTATTTTCAGATTATGTCCTCAGTGTCCCTTTCTGTTCAGTGGGTTTGCACAGGTGCAATGTATTGGCCCTGTAACACACACAAAAGGAATATCTTTCTGGGGTTTTCAGAGGAGCCTCAGGAAGTTTCAGGTGCCTGAATCTCATTGAAATCCAGTGAGATCTGGGCACTTAACTTCAAAGCCTTTTTTGTGTCACTCTGAACACACACAGGGAGCAGCTCTGTGATGGATAAGAGTCACTTTACAGAGTACAGAGTAGCAGCCGTGTTAGTCTGTATTCACAAAAAGAAAAGGAGTACTTGTGGCACCTTAGAGACTAACCAATTTATCTGAGCATAAGCTTTCGTGAGCTACAGCTACAGAATGCATCCGATGAAGTGAGCTGTAGCTCACGAAAGCTTATGCTCAAATAAATTGGTTAGTCTCTAAGGTACCACTAGTACTCCTTTTCTTTTTACAGAGTAGAATCACACTTCAAACTCTTCTTACAGGGACTAGATGCATAAATCCAACTATGATTTGCTAGGGTTGGTTTTCATGTTTGAAATATGGCAAATCACACTTATTCTTCAAACTTTTGTATTTTTATTCCTATTTCTCAGGAGGACTCTGAAAACAATCTGTGTAAAGATGGTGCAAAGAAGGCAGGGACAGATGAGCCCATCCACAATGGATTCAACAATGAAACCCAGAGTCATTTACCGGGTTATAATCATCATGAAAAATCCTACACCAATACAAGCATAGAGACAGAATCCTACTTCTAGCAGCTGCGGGGGGACAAAACCTAACTTCTCATGGAAATCAAACTGCATTGCTCCAGCTTTAGAAAACAAGGACTGTACCTAGCCTGTCAGTTGTATTTTACTAAGTCCTGGATGATCAGAGCAGCATATGGTAGACACTGCAGAGAGAGAGGTAAAAGCCAGATTCAATTTTAGTTATGAAATACATATTAAATATTAAAAACAAGGCATCCATTCTTTAAAGACAGTGATGCTGGGAATGCTGTGTGTCAGGAGAAATGAAAAAACTGAGGCTTATTATGAAAATTTCTATTACATGTTTAGCAAAAGATTGGCATTAATGTTGGTGCTGTGGCTAAATTCCAATCTGAGCAAGTCCATCATCTATCAACAATTTATTTTGGAAAATTCAACCATCCAGAGGCATTTCCTTCCTTCTTGTCCCAAACTAGGATGTAGTGCTACTGTTCACCTCAGTTATGGATGAGGTGATTTCTGTATCTATTATCTTCTCCCACAACCATCTCTGTGCTTTCCCCCACAACCCTCCTCATGCAGTTAGACACAGAACATCTTTCCTGGTCGGAAAATCCCTTCCCTTCCACATTCAAATCTCCCCTGAAGACCTGCTTCTACCAGAACACATATTGGCAGTAAGTACTAGCCTTGAGCTGGCCCACAACCCGGGACATCTGATTGTAGAACAAACCATTTAAAAATGAACTTTTATAAAAAATGTATGTTATCCAGCCATAGCCAATCATAACCATTTTACTTGTAGGTCAGGCTTCTTTCCCAAATCCTCTCTCTGGTCATTTTCACTTTGTGAGGAGCTCTGAAGCTGATTGGCCTGTGAAGTTGGTGGTGAGCAAGGTTGAGGGAATATGAGGACTCACTCAACCAACAGAAAGATGATGGACATTTCTGTCCTCTGATATATGCCTTTTCTGAACTCTAATAGCAGTGGTGTCCATCAGAATGCACTGATACATGTAACAATAAAAGTTGGATATTTGGTACAGAGGCCACTGTTCCTTTGCTGAATGAGCTCGGCTGCTGCCCTGCTACCGTCTCTCTAACCTGAGCGTTTTGCATCAGTTTGGGCATCTTCTGGTCTGAGTCCTGCTCCCACATTAGCAGAACCATCACTCTCCCCTCTTTGCTCCCCAATTCAATGCAAGCTGGCTCCACACTGTCCAATAGCATGTTGGTCCAGTTGGAAGAATAAATTCTGAGGATTTGGTCCAGTTCGTCATAGAATGGACATGTTTTCCCAGTCTGACCCAGACTTCATTATTGTCCTGGGCCTCGTTATAATGGCCTTAAGTCCCTTGATTTTTTTTCTCATTTCTGCTTGATGCTCCGAGAGATGCCAATCTCAGCTAGTCGCTCGGACGCCCAGCCATACATTCACGTATTCTCAATGCCTGAGTTCAACTGTGCCTGACTTGCCTCATCTATCCAGGTGGCCATCAGTGCCCACATATCCGCTTCAGATCAGCTGGCAGCACAGTCATAAGAATGCTACTGCGAAGACATGCTATCCAAAGAAATTGATTTCTGGGGAAACAGCACACAGTGTGCGCAGTGGCATGTGCTCAGATAAGTAGCTTCTAGAAACCATGACCGCTGTGCAGTGGAGTTCAGAAAATAGGCCAGACAGACCAGCTAATCATTGACCTGTGCACTATGGGCTAGTACTGGGGGAATTATTTGCACCATAGGGACTATTATTCCAGCGTTACCCATCCATAATGACACTGCATTATTGGAATTTGGCACAGCAGAGAACCATATGGTGGTTAGAAGCCAATCTAATCCAAATGGCACTATGAACAGCTGTGCATTGTTGGGAGTAACTCTATATGTGGACATGAGGTGTATTGCAGGTGTGTCAGGGAACCGAGCGGCAGTTAGCATGACACATTTCTGCAGTATTGATAAGGCCTTCATTGGGAAAAATAATCGTTTGCTAGTTCTCCCCATGAATGGGTCCATATGCTTGACTAGGGATCAGTTTGGCTAAGGACTGACATACGGTTGGGACTGACATTCTGAGTCATGGGTAAATTCACTTCATTATTTCTTTTGTGGTCCTTTTAGTGGCTCAGCTCTGCTTGCTGTTGCCAGACTTCTCTCCTCCTGGCGTGCAGGTCCCTTTCTCCCCCTTCACCTGACACTCTCTTTCTACTTCTATGGAAAATCCTTCCCCAGGTGGTTAGCAAGGCAATGACTGCATGTGGAAGTTTTATTAAAATAGCTGACAAATTTATGACATATAGGAGTGTAAACTAAGCCACTAATAACTGTTATTCTTCAGGGTGTAAACTAATTCCTTGCAAGGGTAAGGAAGGACGCTCTTAACACCCCACCATAAATAGTACAGTGCAGCCTGGTGGTACATTGTGTATTATTTCATGCACTGGTAGAAGCAGGATATTAGGCTAGAGGGCCAGTGGTTCCATGTGGTATAGCACCTCATACCACATGGTCAATTGTTGTAAAGCGATGGCTGCACTGTGAGGCAACAAGAGCCAATTTTATAATTTCTCAAGATCTTTAGAAATTTACTCATTGCGATTTCCTATTATGCTAAGAGTCTTCTCAAATTCTGTATACCGATGGAGTATACAGTCCTCCCCTCCCCCACCCCCATTTGTCAATAAACTAGTTTTCACCAATTTTTAAAACCAGGCACAGTATAATGTGCAACCGTAATAACTTCCTAATTTAATTGTCATAAACAACATAGATGCTTCCTGTTAGTATTATTTTAAATGTGCAAAATGCTGGGCAACTGTACTGGTTAGAGTCAGAGGCTGTGACAAACTTCTTCACATAAAATTGCCAAAGTACTTTGTTTTAGTCAGCTATCCCAGCCCTTGGTTCTGTTTCAAATCAAAGTTGCTGGTTGTGCCTCGCTGTGTGGTGATTTTGTCATGTAGTCAAACATTTAGCAAGATCTAAGGTGTGAAGAAGCCCAGTCAATTGCTTGTGCATTTTCTAATCTTGCCATCGCATTTCCAGGCATGTGGTATTACAGAATTAGACTTCCAAAGTTCTACTGTTTCAATTTAATTAATATTCAGGTCAAGGTTGGGTAGAATTACCTTCTCATCTCTGAGCCATTGATCATTCCAAATCAATTCAGACTTCCTCCTGCTAACTCTGGAGCTGAGAAAATACAACAAGGGAAGGCCAGAGACACAGATGCTTGAAAATCTTTGGACAGGATGGACTAGTCCCTTTACTGCCTGTCAGACAGTCACTCACACAGCTAATGAAATGTAGTTCTGACTAGTATAATTTTCTCGTGCTCCCTTCCTGGCCTTATACCTGACTTCTGACTGGACAAAGGGGAGGTATGAGGACCAGATTTTCAAAGAGTTCAGTTTCTTGCACCTGAACACTTTTGAAAATCTGGCCACACTACTCCGATACCAAATGGGAGCTGCTCTCTTGGGAACAGCCTGCCACTTACTGAGGTGGCTAAATGAGAGTTGCTGAGTGCGGCACTGTTTTGAAAATCTGGCCCCACATTTCTGCTTCACTTCCATTTTCTCTTTTCCCCCTTGCTTCCTAATTTGATCTCACAGCCTTATTGTTCTAAGCTTATTTGACACTTTCTCTGCAGGCTGTGAATCTGCTGCTTTCATATATAGTTATCCACTCCTCCCAAAGGACAAAGAAATGTATTTTTGAGAGTTTTTTAAAAACTGCAACCCCAAAGAAATACCAACATGATAACAAAAACATAGCCTCTTTTCAATTGTAACCTCAGGTTGCCATCCATCCGATTCAAGACTGACTCTTTAGCATTTGTGGCCAATTTTTCAGAACAAGTAACCCCCCCCACCCAGCCCCTCAGTGTACTAACATTAAGTGCATGTGCAAACCCTGAGTTAGTGCATGCAAACTAGCACTTGCATATGCAATTTACATGAAGCACATTTACAAATCCCCAGCTACCAATCCAAGCTACACGTGCCATAACCTACCTGCTTGAACAAAGGCGAAGAATGTTCCGGAGCATGGGGTGCAGGGGTACTTTTGATTGTGCCTCCCTTTTGGTGGACTTTAAAAGTTTCAGGCTGGTTCCTTCAGGTTTTAGAGCTGCTCTTCTATTGCAGTATAACATTTGTACTGTATCTTAATTAATTTGCAAATATTTAAATAATAAAGGGCTAAGAATGTGCCATACTGAAGGGAAGTCTATGGGAGAGATCCGGGGAGAGAGGAAAACTCTGCAAGACTAAGGACCCAGGACTCAGTACAGGAGCATGAAAATGAGATTGAGGCAACATGAATCGCGGCTAGCTAGAGTACAACTGCATTACAATCATAGACTATAATGTTAGCTTTCTCTGCTGCAGCACTGAGTATCAAAGAAGAGCAGCTGGTGAAGCATGGAGAAAAGTAGAGGTAAAATAAATGGGAAAAATAGGGATAAGCTACTTGGAAGCTAATTCTGACCCCTCCTCCACAGCTGGGTGGGTCCTGAGCAGCAGAATTGATTGAGTTTATCTTCACAGATTGGGAGAAAGTTTGGGGGACCTCCAAGGGGTACACTCCCCTATCTGGCATAGAGTCCTATTTCACAGCACGGGCTGATGGATGGACGAGTTCAGAGACTCCAATGTTGGGTGCATTCTCCAGTGCTTCTACTCATGGGTTAATGCAGCATCCATGGTCGGGGAAGGAGGATGGTGAGGAGTCCATTACGGACACCTTAAAATATCCATGTACTTTAGGAAGACTTAAGCACACGTTTCAGTGCTGTGGGGCTTGCTGGGGCAAGATGCAGAATACTCTGCCCCTGATTCAATGAAACACTTAAAAACATGCTTTTCTTTGAGCATGTGACTTCCTCTGCAGCATGGGGCACTGCTCACTTGCAGGTTTAAACTAGTGTAAATGGTGGATTCTCTGTAACTTGAAGTCTTTAAATCATGATCTGAGGACTCCAATAACTCAACCAGAGGTTAGGGGTCTATTACAGGAATGGGTGGGTGAGGTTCTGTGGCCTGAAATGTTCAGGTCAGGCTAGATGATCATGATGGTCCCATCTGACCTTAAAGTTTATGAGTCTATGAGTCAATGGGACTATATACGTGCACATATTTAAGTGTTTTCCTGAACTTGCATTTGTCTAAACATATGGATTCAATTCAGTAGAAGTTTTGCTACAGACTTTGTTGTGACCAAGATTTGGCCCGAAGAGATTAGTATAGAGGAAAATCTTACATTCACATGGTGGGCTGGAGGAAGGGAGGTGCAGAAAGTGATGAATCAAGACTTCAGCCCTATCACCACTTTTTCTATTAAAGTTTCATTTTTACCTGGTTGAGAAGGGTTCTGGATGGTGATCATGGTTAATAATTTTAAACAAATATCCAGTAGCTCTTAGTCAGACATTCTTGGGATTATCTTTCATTGCATCCCTAACGGGCTCATCAGCCCAGTGACTTGATAGTGCATTGAAGTGGGTGCACCCACCAAAATTAAGATAGCATTTCCAATTCACCGATTCATATAGAATAAATTCACAACAGCGTGGTGTCTCTCATTAACATGGTGTATATACATTGTGGGGCTAGGCACTGACTCCTTGAGTTGGGGTGAACTACAACTTTGTAGAGGACATAGTTTACCAGCAATACATTAGTGTAAAGAGTGTCTGTGTGTTTTACTAAAACTTTCAATGTTTGGAATAAAGAAGTTCCAAGTCTGCTTTAAAGATATCCAAGTTTATTACTGAAAAATGCAATATTCAAATGTGTATGATACAATAAGTAGTTGAATTTGTACATGTAAACCTTGATAAACAGCATCTGAAGGACAAATTTATGCCAAAAGTTTCTTACAACAGTTAATCAGATCAATCACTTTCCAGGGGAAAAAAAGCCCTCTCCTTTGTTTTTTCCTGTTTGAATTCTTAAAGTTTCAGGCTATTCATAGGGTCACAAAAAGTAATCTTAAACACAAAAGGAAATCAACAATTAACAGGCCACAGAGACTTTTAGCATGTACTACTTGAAAGTCAATTCTTCTCAAACATTTTCTGGTAAGTATTGCAATCTCATTTTAAATATTACTTACAAAGTTTGGACTTGTAAATAGAAAAAATAGAGGAAGTTTTTTTCCTAATTCTTTACTTAGAAACCAAGTTGTATTTAAATATTACATAAATTTCAAATATACACAAACGTATTTAGAAATCTCCTATGATCATATTGCAAGTCAGCCAGGACTATTATTAGAGTAAAAATGATTTAACTTTATTTAGTAACATTTTTACACACAATTCTTTTCAAACAATTGAAATTTTAGTGATACGAATTACTAACCTATATAGAAATTAGAATAAACAATTTGGCAGACTGTACAAATACAAGATTCCAAGACATCTAAATGGAATACAAAATAAAAAGATGATCAGATTCTTTTGTTTTATTCTTTTTGGGGGTAGTGTGGGGTGGGAAGAGCAACTGCCATATTCCCAGTGATTAAAATGCATTGGGTTTAATGCTAATTTCTCAACTATTAGCATCCTAATCACAAATTCCTAGCAATATCAATGCAAGCCTATGCAGAATATATTACAATACAAAGGCTATGGCAAAAAAGTTAGTGCAAGCCAATGGAGATGTTAAAGGGTACATTTTTTAATGCAGTGCACAGATATTCAGCTATAAGAATAATTAACATTTCATGGCTAACTCACCATGCTGCATTAAAAATTTACATCTATAGGGAAGAGCAAAGTGATTTCTAGGCACTCCCTAGCTGTACTATCATAATGAAGTTGTGCTGTCATGGTGAGGCTAAACCATGCCAAAACAAGGTGGCAGCATATGACATTATAGTGTAAAGATGAGGCCAAAACTATCAATACAAGCCCAGTGCTGATGGTTTCAAAATGATCTCAGTTAAGTCAAGTTATATATGTTAACATTATACAAGAGAGAAGGACACAGGATCTTGAGATTTCAGTATTTTGAGAATGTATGTGGGAATGTCCTGATTTTGAAAGGTGCTGGACGGGCAGTTCTGGAAAACGAAGCTGCAGATGCAGCAGCAGTGCGTGCTTCCCCACCCTGCTCTGTCAAAGTGCACTCTGACCTGGAAGACGCATCCAACAGCTCAGTATCTGTGCACATTCACTAACTTTGGCCTTGATACTGAGAATGCCAACAAGTGTGTCAGTTCTGGTGGAGTTTTTGTGATGTAGACAGTTGTTCATTGGAAACAGGACTCAGGCCATGTAAGTCACTGAGACGGTATCAGTTAATCCACCTGGATAGGATCTAATTGTGATCTAAAAATGGAAGACTGCGTCTCATCACCCATCCCCTCGGCCATCCAGTTACCTTTAAATTAAGCCTAAACCCCCAAAGAAAAGGAAATGAAGCATGAAAGCTACTACAGCAACTTAACTGCAACCACCCGATGAAGCGAGCTGTAGCTCACGAAAGCTTATGCTCAAATAAATGGGTTAGTCTCTAAGGTGCCACAAGCCCTCCTGTTCTTTTTGCGGATACAGACTAACACGGCTGCTACTCTGAAACCTCTTATTTTTTATTACAACCAATATAGGGCCTGATCCAAAGCCAAGTGGAGTCAATGGGAGTCTTCACATTGACTTTAATAGGCATTGGATCAGGACCATACTGCATCTGCTCATTAGTGGATTTTTACAATGTTGGATTGTTACATTCTACCACTGTAAAATATATATATTTTTACCAATATGGATACAGTATGGGAGGAGGTAAAGAGGTTGGATAACACTATAAGTGAATTTCAACGGGGCGTATGTTCATAAGAGACTTAAGAGCCTTTGAAAAGTTACCCTTTAGCTGTATTCGTATAGTATATACTATACGTGGGTGTGCTGTGGCAGCTTAATAATTTCTTTGATTTTTCACTGTATAATGGTCTGTCTACATACCAAATTGCCTGTGAGTTTTAGTCTCAGCTGCAATATTATGTAAAAACACAAACATGGCTGCATGTTCAATTTCCATACATTTGTCCTGAGTGATCATCCTCAGTCTTTTGTGAAAATTACGAAACAGGAAAAATTTCCTGTTGGATAGAAGATTGCTTTTATTAGGAATGTTAAGTGAACTTACCCCTAAACTACTTTGCACTTCTCAATTATTTCCGTCTTTATATCACACCTCCCATATGAAAGTTTATTTAGTTTTATCTTTCTATAACTTTTTTTCTTTTCATATGAAGTTACTTAAGTAAAATGAATTTTTTTATAAACCTGTTGCCCACTAAATGTTAAAGAGAGTTTGTTTACACTTGTTTGAGTGAGAATTTATGCTAAAATGCAGTTATCTATATCATAGTAATGAAGAAGGGGGATTTCAAATGAAACAAAAAAGGAAATAAGTCTTGTTAACATGCCTATGTTAATGGATGTGGACTGACCCATATCATGGCACAATCCAGCAGATGAACTAAGTCCATAAAAACGCAAAAGCAATCACAGGTAAATGACAATGGTTTTAGTCACCCCACAAATTCTCTGAGTAAGTGCCAGCTTTTGCAATTTACAAGAGAGTAAGTCACAGTAAGAAAATCCCTCAAAGCAGACTACTTGTAGATCTTAAATTATTTTGGTTTTTTATTTACGATGAGCTAACCCATAGGAACAAATATTACAAAATGCAAATAGCAAAATCAATGCCTACTCTAAAGCTGTGATTCCCAAGCTCTTTTTAATTTTTGTAGAATATTTCATAGGAGGGATCCTTTTATGGGTCTACCTTTTGAAACCCACACTGCTTGGGCCCTATGTATCCTTGGTGGTCCATATAACATAGTTTGAGAACCACTGCTCCTGCATGTGTACAATTCACAGTAACAGTTCACTTGATGTGCTTATTATTGTGAAAATATTCCACTTTTATTGTGTAAAAGTGAAAGAACATATTTCTAAAGAAAAACAATTATGGTCTATTATCTGCATGGAAACTTTAGGTTTGTTGTTTTTGCGATCAGCTTTAAAAGGTATTCTCAAATTTCTCTACAATACCTTTATGTAAGAGTCGTGTGAGGAGAGTACTAGGGAAAAAATTACATGTTAGGGACTAGTTTTCACCTTTAAAACACCTTAAAAGGATGCCCAAATCCAGCAGTGTGTCTATTATCCTTTGGTGGGCATTTACATTCTAAGTGCCAATCAGAAGCTTATTTACATGGCACAGCCATGAGCACTAGAGGGGTGTGAATTCCAAAGCATGCCATGGTTGCACACTAATTGCCCCATCAAGACACTAATGGCATGCACTAAAAGTTCCCTAGTGTACATTAACACAGTACTGTTGTACTAAGAGTCCAAACTTAGACTTTAGAAATTCTAGTCAGGGCCCAAGTATGAATACTGAGCTGTTAATCTACATATTGATCCATTCACATTCAGTGGCAGAAAGTAAATACTAGTGAGGCTGATGCAACAGGATTCTTTGAATAATTGTTTTTCTTTTCTCAACCACCAGATTTCTGATCTCACATGTTAGGCACAAATTTAAAATATAAGCTGATGAAAAATATGAATGCTAAATTGATGGATTTTTTTAATTTCTAGAATGAAGATTCCTTTTTGATTGTATCAAGACGTTGAGTTCAGATAGGAATAGTTAAGACATTTTGAACTAGTAACTGGGATCTGTAATACAGTATTTAAAAAGCTGTATGTGGTCTCATGTGGTCTCTCTTAAGGTGCATGCATAGAACAAATGTATTATAAACTAGATCAGGAATGATCTAAAGTATTTTTGCACAGATGCTATGTTTTGAAACTCTTCAGCTTTGGAGAATTCATAAACGCAGCTCGCATGTACAAGTCATTTATACTGGTCACTTATTTGGAAAGACAAATATCTAAAATATGAAAATATAGGTAATCAGCATTCACATAATACATAATTCCTGAGGACAGAGTGTGCCTTATACCTTTGTCAGATAATTTGCATGTTATGCAAACACCACACTAAATGAAATCTAGCAGAAAGGTTCTCAGCTAAAACAAATTCCGATACAGAAGCAATGCCTTTAGACATTGTTGATACACTATACAAACAAAGGAACAAAAACACACAATATTTCTTCAGAAGTTCTTGTGCTTTCCCAGCACTTTAAATTAACTGAACAATGTCAAATTTATATATTCCTATCTAACGTACTTTTATATTTCAACACTGAAAGTCGTTATAGAAGACTTCTGTACATCTCCAAATCCAAGACCATACTTTATTACAAAAAACATTTCCTTTCTGTATTTCTTTATTTTTAATGCCCAACTGGAATTCTTCCAGCTATATATTGATATGTGAAAATATCATCAGGCAAAAAAAACCAAAAACCATGTAGAAATATTAATCATTCTTCCTAATTTTTGGCTAAATTTATACCAGTCCTTCTGCCTTGATCCAGTCAAGGCATGTTGTTAAAACATTAAAAGACATATCATTTGTGACCCTATGCTAGTTAATGGATAAAATTAAACTAGGATGCTATAAAGCTGGAGAGTTAATACATTAAACAATACAGAGTCTTAAGCACAAAACAGAAGCACATTAAGAATTTCTTATTAAGACTCATGTGACACTGAGAATACAGTGTCAACAGAGTAGAATGG